GGTGGGAAGCAGGGCCAGGAGTTGACTGAGGATATGGTCTGGCCAGGAGGTAGAATGTGGGAGGGGGTGTGTGGGGTCTGGATGAGATGTAGGATTCAGGAACAAGGTGGTGGTGAGGGTCTGGGCAGAAGTTAGGGTGCAGGAGCATGCTGGAGGTGAGGATGCAGGGTAGGGCAGGATATAGGGTGCAGGATCAGTGTGGGGAGAAGCAGGGCCAGGAGTTGACTGAGGATATGGTCTGGCCAGGAGGTAGAATGTGGGAGGGGGTGTGTGGGGTCTGGATGAGATGTAGGATTCAGGAACAAGGTGGTGGTGAGGGTCTGGGCAGAAGTTAGGGTGCAGGAGCATGCTGGAGGTGAGGATGCAGGGTAGGGCAGGATATAGGGTGCAGGATCAGTGTGGGGATTCCGATGCAGGGTCTGGGTGGGAGCAAGGGTGTGGGAGGGGGCAGGGGATTGGAGCGCTTACCAGGCACAGACCCTGGGGGAGGGAACAGGTGGCTCTGTGTGGCCCTGCCTTTGCATCCACCGCCTCCTACTGCGTCCATTGGCTGCGATTCCTAGCCAATGGGAGCGGCAGGGGTGGAGCCTGCAGGTGAGTGCCATTAGAAGGAACACACATGGCTCCAGCCATAGTGCAGAGAAGGGGAAAGGCAGCATGCAGAGTCGCTTCCCCTCTCCCCCCGTCACAATATGCCATGACTTTAGTGGCGGGGGGTCCCCTTTAGCCTGGGGCTGCAGCCCCTAAGTCCCCTTTCATAATCCAGCCTTGATCACGTAGGTCAGGATGCACAGAATGCATCCTGGGAAAAGCCCCTCATGTTCACCAACCTTTCTGCTTTGCAAGTACCTAAAGTCTCGTGATCTGAGAAAACTCATTTCCAGGTCTCCCTTAATTTTAGAGGATGGGCTTTGCTCCATGGCAATGAAGCAGAAGAAATCTGATCCTGAAACTAAAGCTCCAGAAACCTTCCTGCCCATCACCCAAGATGGAGTCTCTTCCAATGGGCCACCAGATAAGAAGTCAAGAGTAAGGATGTCCCCTTTCCTTTTTACTTACAGTCTTTCCAGTTTGGGCAGGTCACTAAAGGTTTCCGGCCCCAAGGTTTCCAGGTGGTTGAAATGAAGGTAACTGGCACAAAAGAAAAGCACAAAGGATGGTGTTATAAAACCTGACTTGTGAGACTGGACAATAGCTCACCGCTGGAGAGATGTTCTAGACACATGTCCCCCGGTCAATAAGCCAATGCACAGTCCAGTGCAGATTTCCAGAAGACAGGCATCACATTGGCAGCTGCAATTCACAGATGCAAAACCAGCCCAGAGTGGGAAACCAAGCCCTCGCTATCCCTTCCAAGAAACATTTGCCAGCTGTAAACTCTTCCGGTTTATTGATAGGAAAAAAACCCCACAGGCCAGACTTTCAAAGCACTAGGGGGTCACCAAAATGAAATGAATAGGTAGCAGGTTTAAAACAAAGAAAAGGGAGTTTTTCTTCATGCAGCGCACAGTCAACCTGTGGAACTCCTTGCCAGAGGATGTGGTGAAGACCAGGATTTTAACAGGGTTCAAAACAGAACTAGATAAATTCACGGAGGATAGATCCATTAAAGGTTATTGGCCAGGATGAGTAGGAACGGTGTCCCTAGCCTCTGTTTGTCAGAAGCTGGGAATGGATGACAGGGGAGGGATCATGTGATGATTCCCTGTTCTGTTCACTCCCTCAGGGGCACCTGGCATTGGCCACTGTTAAAAGACAGGATACTGGGCTAGATGGACATTTGGTCTGACCCGGTATGGCCGTTCTTATGATCCCCTTAGTCCTAGAAACACCTCCACCTACAACTGACTGTACCATCATTTCACAAGGAGTCCCTATTAACCTGGACTAAGCTTTTCATTCTTCAGAGCTAGTGGCTGCAACGGGATCACCCACCTTCATCCTGCTCCCTCCAGAATTCCCTGGAATCTTAAGGGGTGGCTCCTTTGGAAGCAGAGGGAAGGAGAGAAGTAGCGTAACACAGGGACCCCTCCTCCCAACACACCAAAGACACAAGGTCAGGGTCAAGGATCTGTGGTCATCAGAGCGCCCCCTAGGGATGTTACTTGGAAAGTGCGCTCGCCTACGTCTGGCCTGCCTAGGAAAAGGCTGGTTTTATGGCAGTGGGCGCTTAGCCCTCCCGCTGAAACTCTCTGGCTATTTCTCCCCTTTGGGAGAGCTCAGGTAAAACGAGCCAACAACCCCAAAAGAAGTTAAACAAAAAAGTCAAAGACAAAAGAAAAGCTGGGGGCAGGGGGAGCCAGGATATCGGCCTCGTTCCTTGAAGGGGCCCTGGATGGGGGGGGCCTCCAGTGCAAGTTACAGGACACAGTCTCGTCCCCCTTTTAGCTCAGGGGGATCCGTGCTCCCCGCTTGCGAGGGCAGAGGTTCCACTCGCTATCACGCAGCTTCTGGAGAGCTGGGAAGCTTAACAGCCTGCTCGTCTTCCTTTGCTGCCTCCTACTGGGTGGCACTTCCACTTTTTTAACTCTTCCTCTATTCCCAGCATGCCTTGCAGCTACTCCAGCCCAAAGCGAGGGGTTTATGCACCCCACCACAGTCAGCATAGCTGTCTCATAGACTTTGAGGCCGGAAAGGATTAACGTGATCCCCTAGTCTGACCTCCTGCACGTGGTAGGCCGGAGACTCTCCCTTATCCGCTCCTGTCACGGACCCCTCACCTGTGGCTGAGCTACTGAAGGCCTCCAGTCATGGCTGAAAGACCTCAAGCTACACAGAATCCACTACTGAAGCTGGTTTAAACCTGTCAACCTGGCGGAAGTGGGGACCACCCGGCCTCACGTCTCACCGAGGAAGGTCTGTCCCTAGAG